AAGGAAAATCGTTAGGATGAGTTTAGCATTTTCCATTTGCCCACCCATTTATTTTATTTATTTGCCTACTTTAATCACATGTTTAATTATTTATTTAAGTATTTAAACAAGAATACCTGTATTTATGCACACATTTATTTATTTATTTGTGTATTTATTTATTGTTTTTGCAGGTTTCGTCCTCCATAGTAGATGTCCTGGCATATATTAGTACGTTTTTTTTACCTCATTTCCTCATTGCCTACAGGACAAATTAAGTAAAATGTGGCACAATTTACCCCACTCTCTCCTATAGATATGTGTACATACTATAACAACGAGTCAATGCAAAACGTCCTCAAACCAGTTCAATGAACCAATCGAATAGTTTTTTTCTGTGAGAGTACTGACAAATTATATTTTGCCTGCTGCCCTCTTGTGTTCTTAGGTAGATCTGCAAATGGAGGTTTTGAAGCTACATTTTAAAGATGTCTACAATGACGGTTTGAATGAACATTTTAAAAAAACAAATAGTTTAGAAACATATGGTACCGTATAATATTGTTGCTATCAGTGGCGTTGTGATAGCTGTTTCTCCACGTTTGATCTACAGTTATGAATAAAGTAAGCGAAAGCTCGTTTTAATGAAACATTCATATTCATGGATACTAATAGCTGTAGATTTCGAAAAGATTTTGTATATATAAGAGACATGCAGGAATGTTTCTTCTTTGTGGATTTTATCATGGCACATATTACCTGATCATGGAGCGGTGGTGCCTATCAGCAAATCCCTGAATGAGTGGAACCTAAAATATCCGGAAATATCGTTTCCTTTGGTATGTTTATATGAGCGGACCGCAGTATGATGCTGCTGCGATGCAATTTTCATTGAAACTGCCTCACAGCCTCGAGCACGTGTTTCAGGATTTAATCCGATATGGAAAAACTAAAGAACACATCAAGCGCTCAAACTGGCAGCTCGTTTTTGACATATCAAAGAGGTGATTCGGGTTAAATGCAGTTTTATGTGGCTCTGTATATTACCCAGATATCATGGTTTGAGCATGTCAAGGCATAATGCTGGAAACATTTTCTTTTTTTTTTAGTGCAAAGAACGGAAACATACAAAGAATAAGCATACATCACATAATATCAACCACAAAAATAAAATGGAAACAAATCACAAAAAGCATAAAATAAAGATAAGAGGGCCATCATCTAAACATGATTACATGAAGAGATCAAAGGCAGAGCAAATCCTAACAGTCCTTACAGCATTCTTATTAGTAGATACTGAAATTACATTCAAATAATTTTCCATTTATTTTAGAAAGACAGAGAAGACAGGTTTACAGGTGGAAAATTTGCATTTGTGAATGTGAAATTTGCTTAGGAAAAAAATTAAATTAATAACAAAACAGATATTTTCCTTTGAGGGGTCGGAGTCATAATACCCAAATATAATGTTTTTCATATGTACTGAGAAGCCTGGCAAAATCTTACACTTGTCAAACACACCAATATCATCCCAAAACTTCTGAGTGTAGTGACATGACCAAAATAAGTGTACCACGGTTTCTTCAGAATTCGAACAAAAAGAGCATGTAAGCTCAATGTCAGATTTAAATCTTTGTATAAACTTCTTTACGGGGTAGAACCTGTGTATAAGCTTAAAATAAAATTCTTTCACCTTGTTTGTGAGAAAGAATTTTTGCTGTAGAGACCAGATTTTTTTTCCAATTAAGGTTAACAAACAAATTATTCCAAAAGGAAATCACAGGTGGAACAGAAATCAGATTCTGGAAACACTTTCTCTGATGTTGATTTTAGGCGTTTCTATCATTTCTATGCGGTGTCTGTCATGTGGAATGGGCTCCTCCTACTATTCTCTGTGTTGTGTCGTCATGAAGGAGGCTCTCCCTGATTGGTTAATTGGCATGCTTTGGTGTTTGACTGGCAGACCAAGAGCTGCTTGGAACGGTACTTCAAATTACAAAGAATGTTTTTTCTTCTTCTTCACTTCATCTTTCTTTTTTAAACAATGGCAACCAGTGTGTTACTAGAGTAAAACCGTGTTAATATAGTAACCAAATCAGAAAGATTCTGAAACCTCTGTGTAATGGAGATCCCGTATTTTTTTTATTTATACATTTTTTATATTTTTCTGCTTTAATTTGTTGCAATGTACTTTCCATTTACCATGCAAAGAATTTTCACATGCTTACTTGTGTGCTTTACAGAGTTACATCTCTCCATTCTGCTTTTACAAGTGCTACTATGGGTCCACTCTCTTAGACGGCTATTGGAGTGCCTGTTTGTCAGCGTATTTTCTAATGGTGTGATCCATGTAGTCCAGTATGCATTTGGTTTGGGTTACTATGTCCTACTTGGACTAACTGTCCTGTGTATAAATCCTTCTCTGCCACAACCAGGTTAGTACAGTTTCCTAGTTCAGATCCTTTCATCATTTTGTCACATTGTTTTTTTTTGACTAAAATGCACCTCCATATAGAAAACTCAAAATCCAATTCATGTTAACTTGACCAAAAATATTTCAGTATTTATTAGCCCAAATGTAGCTGGACATTTTCCTGAATTGTACGAACTATCTGTGTATTTGTCTCTGCAATACCAGGGTCTCTTGTTAATCAGCTCACATGGCATCATGTAATCGGGACTCTTCTTTTCATCTGGGCATCACTCCTCCAGAACCGGTCCCTCTCATTGCTGGTCAAAATGAGGACTGACAGCTCAGGTAGAAAGCCACTGGGGATTCCTTAGGAAAAAAGTGTAAACTAATTCTAAGTAAAAATACAAAAAAAAAAAGAAGTTATTTTCTTCTTATAACAGAATAATTATTACTTTTACTTTGACACGGACTGACCTCAGATGGTGATTGACAGCAGCTGCTTGCTTAGAGGCTTAGTTACTGTGAGATGTCAGCAAATGACTTAAAAAGGAAGTGTCGTTTACCACATATGAACTTCCCCAGCTTCCCTGCGTCTCGAATTTAGTCTTGTTAAAAAGAGAATCAATTGAAAGACATATGTTCTGCTACTGATCAATTGATGACAGTTTTGTTTGTTTCACTTTATTTGCACTTGCATATGTATTTGAATCAGAATCAGAATGAGCTTTATTGCCAGGTATGTTTACACATACAAGGAATTTGTTTTAGTGACAGAAGCGCCACTGTGCAACAGAATGTCAGTGACAAGACAGGACACAGATTATAAAAAGAATAATATAAAAATAGACAATGTACAAAAAAGCAAAAACACAAGATATAATATAGACAATTTTGTATGTACAGGTATGATGTGCAAATTTGAAATGTAAATAAGTATGTGTGTTAAATAAATAATGTATGCTAGTGTTGTGTGTTCCACGATTATTGTTAAGTGTTCATGAGTATCCAATCCAGGTAAAGTAGAGACTCTAGCCCACAAGATGCCATGCGGGGGCTGGTTTGAACTGATCTCTTGTCCGCATTACCTGGCTGAGCTTCTAATTTATGTTGCCATGAGTGTTTGTTGTGACTGCAGTTCTCTAACCTGGTGGCTGGTGGTACTGTATGCACTCTGTAACCAGGCACTGGCTGCACAGCTCTGTCATGATTACTACAGGAGCAAATTTGAGACTTATCCAACTCAACGCAACGCTTTTATTCCTTTTGTCCTGTGATTTTTATGTAATAAGCGCTTTAATATGGGAATAAGAATCAAATTAATAAAGTATTAACTAAACAAAAACATAGATATCCTTAATGCCTCTCTTTTAAATGGGAACAGCTGACACACTGATCATGCATATTTAATGTGTAAGGAACAGGGCAAGGAGGGAAATACACACGACATGACCGAAATGGACCGTTGCTCTGACACGGACTGACCTCAGATGGTGATTGACAGCAGCTGCTTGCTTAGAGGCTTAGTTACTGTGAGATGTCAGCAAATGACTTAAAAAGGAAGTGTCGTTTACCACATATGAACTTCCCCAGCTTCCCTGCGTCTCGAATTTAGTCTTGTTAAAAAGAGAATCAATTGAAAGACATATGTTCTGCTACTGATCAATTGATGACAGTTTTGTTTGTTTCACTTTATTTGCACTTGCATATGTATTTGAATCAGAATCAGAATGAGCTTTATTGCCAGGTATGTTTACACATACAAGGAATTTGTTTTAGTGACAGAAGCGCCACTGTGCAACAGAATGTCAGTGACAAGACAGGACACAGATTATAAAAAGAATAATATAAAAATAGACAATGTACAAAAAAGCAAAAACACAAGATATAATATAGACAATTTTGTATGTACAGGTATGATGTGCAAATTTGAAATGTAAATAAGTATGTGTGTTAAATAAATAATGTATGCTAGTGTTGTGTGTTCCACGATTATTGTTAAGTGTTCATGAGATATTAGGAGGATGCAGGACAAACCATGAGCAAATACAAATACAGAAAGGTTAACATTGATAAAATATCAATGATTAAGCAGCAGTGGTAATAATAATTAAATAAAATGGGCATTTACAAATATTAAGATTTTATGAATGAGTTTCAATAACCATGAGGTCAGTATTGCAAAACAGTGTATAGACGTGTTTATGTACCAATCATCATTGTTAAAAAAAAAGTGATTAAGAGAAAAACAGATTTGATCTTCTATATACACGTAAACCAGCTATATGAATAACGTCTATCAGTATTTGAACTTCGTGTAAACAAGATGGAATTTGCACTTCAAGCAAACCATACCTACTATTTCCACTCAGCTTCTAATAATTACATTTTCGAAATGTGAAAATCCGCGTAACAAAGAGGAGCCAAACTAATGTCCGTAAATTATTCTTTGAGCTGAGCAAGTCTCTAATCTCATATTTCCCTTTTGCGTTGCAGCTCTACCTATCTTGTAAGCGTTCTTAACACACGTCATTGGGAATGCCGTGTCAACCAATAGTCTACCTCAATTTCAGTGACGTATGTCTCTATTGTACACGTCTATCTCCCAGTTGACCAATCGCGGTCAGATTTTTTAAACCGATAGTTTTGTCTTTGCCTTGCCATAGGTATCAGTCTCTCTCACCGCGAAGATGACCATGATGGGCTAGACTGATCGTAGCGACGAAACGTTAATGTATATAAATTAACGGTTTTATTAGCTTAATTTGCAAAGTATTATCACAACAGAAGCCGTATTAGCCAGCCCTTAAGATGCCTCTTCGGGCCGGCGAGCGGCGTGGCGGTGGCAGGTCCTTATGCTTCCTTATTCTACTAAACGTGTTGTTTTCAGCCGGAGTTATAGCAACTCAAGAAGAGAATAAAGTCATTCGCGAGGAGAAGCCAGCGGAGGTTCGTATGAAACATCATCTTTGCTAGATAACATATGTAAGAATGTTTAATAAAACTATAAATGTGTCAAAGAGGACTTGTGCTTGAAGTAACGTTAGCCGGGTATTTAGGCTAGTAGCACTGAAGGGAAACTAATTAGATTACACACTCTCTAATAGATGTGTCCACTTATTAAGCTGGATTTTTATATTTTGGTATTATATTTTTATGTTAGGAGTTTGCCCACCCTTCACAAACATGAAGTGCGGGATGAATTAAGACATTTTATTGGTCAGAGACGCATTGTGGCATTGAAATTAGGCTTCGATTTGAGGGCTTGAGAGCAGATAAATGAAAAACTCAAGTGCATCGATCTGTAGTAAGTGTTTTTGTAGTTTTGTTGCATTTAACATGGCAAGTTGATCTCAAGGGGACCCAATAAGTCTAGAAATTATTTTTATTTAGTTATAATAACAGTCAGCTAAACTGATTGAATATTGTAATTGACATCATATCTTTCATTTATTTGTTTTATTTTAACAGAAGTAAATATTAGCTTAGGAGGGCTGTCAAATATTATCTGATAATTGGGGGGCCTTGGAGTCAAAAAGGTTGAAAACTGCTTTAAATTTTTCCTTTCTCTTTGGAGTGTTACAAGCTCTTGGTGCATAAAGAAGATCTGTAAAGTTGCAAAGACTAAAGTCTCAAATCCAAAGAGATATTCTTTATAAAAGTTCTGTGGAGACGCTGTGCTTCGTTGTGAAAGCGAAACTACTTTGTTTGGTCTTCCAAAAGAGGACGATATCCGCTTCGTCATGCCTAGAGCTGATCTGTGCTGGTCGCTGAGGGAATACTTCAACTTCGCGCGGTGGATCGCCGGATCAGGCTTTCACCGTGGACGAAGCGGAGTCCAGCCCGGGGTCGTCACATGTGGTTGCCGCAAGCCCGCCGGCCGCACCGTTCTCAAGCTCACTGGCCTCCTCTCACTCAGCCCGCCGGCCGTTCCTCACTCTAGCCGCCGCCGCGTGTGACACCGTTTCATTGTGAAAGCGAAACTACTTTGTTTGGCCTTCCAAAAGAGGATACAACTAGAAATCAGTGGTTAAGTTGTATTTACAACACTGTTCCAGAACAATTCAACCCAAATATTCAGATGTGTGCAGCACATTTTATGGAGGACTGTTTCCTGATCCTGGTAGAGTAGACTACAATGCCGGCTGTTCTGACTCACAGACTGTAAGTACGTTTTTTATATTTAAAGAATTTGCCACTGATTCAAACGCGAGTTTTGAGCAGTGTAGAGTAGCACTTGTTGTTTGCCATTTCTCCGATCACAAATGCAGACATGGTTTTATGTTACGCTCCGGCAGGACAGGGCAGCACAGTATGGTGAGGGGCGTAACATTTCCGTCACACGCTTGAGGTATTCGACCAATCACAACGCACTGGATAGCTGGCCAATCAGAGCACACCTCGCTTTTCAGACCGATGAGCTTTGTAAAAATCGACTCGTTTCAGAAAGGCGGGGCATAGAGGAGAAATGATAATGTACAGTATGTGGAAAATAATGTTTTTTTTTACCTTAAACCGCATAAACACATTTCATTTCACCAAATACACAACATAATGTTCTTTTTAGCAACATCATATGACCCCTTTAAAGTAGTATCATAATGACATTCATTCATAGCACACATATATAGAATAAAAATATAAGTTTGAAACGTTAACTTGGTGGATTGAATTTATAGGATTACTTGAAGCATTTGAGAAAATGATGTAAAGTTGAACATTTATAACATTCTTGTTCAATTCTTTACATTTCTATGTCCAACTCTACAATATATTTCTTCAGGCAAACTGTTTGGATAAATAAGCAATCGTACTACTACAGAAGTTGACAATATCAAGAACTGCTCTGTTTTGTACCCCCATTTTTTCCATACTTTAATCCTTGCTTTATAGATAAAACACATAAATTCTAATATTAAAAAGCTGAATTGTATCTCAATATTTATATTGCTTCATATTTTGAATAAATTTGTTGCTTGTAAAAATTGGATAATTGTTACTATTAATTGATCTGACATCTGAATCATAATTTTTGTCCAGCTGCAGAAGGCAACCACCGGTCACGCACTCGGCCCGGCAGTGAGTGTCGATGAATCCAGTAAGGGAAACCTGGGCTTTATTCATGCCTTTGTGGCAGCCCTCTCAGTCATCATTGTCTCTGAACTGGGAGACAAGACGTTCTTCATCGCAGCCATCATGGCTATGCGCTACAATCGCCTCACTGTTTTGGCAGGCGCCATGTTGGCTCTGGGACTCATGACGTGTCTGTCAGGTAGGTTGTTCAAATGCATCTTTACTTTTTAAATCATGTTCAGAGGTTGATTTGCTTCACATCATATCTCATCTTCCACTTTTCACCAATACCTAAAACTTTTGGTGTCGCATGACTTTTAGACATCCATAATGTAGAATAAACTATTATCTGACATAAAATGAACCTAGCATTAAAAGAAGCTAGTTTTAAACAAAATCAAGACCCACCTCCTTAAAACAGGGATATTATCCTGTCCCACCTCAGAGGTCTTGACCTCAATTAAAATGTAAAATTATAATGAATAGTTTAACCATTAAAGTTACACAATAATATAATAAGCAATCAGTAATTGCAAAAGAACATTTGGTCTAAAAAAACAAACTAGTCCCTACTGAGTGAATGCTTAATTTGTTAAATTTGCAATCATTTTACCCATTCTGACAATTTTTGGTTTGATTTTAATGTTTAAGGCTAGAAATTGTCATCATCTTTATTATTTCTTTCTAGTTTTTTACATGTCCTAAATTTGATTTGATCTTGCTTATGTGGCTTTTTTTCCTTTTCTTTTTTTTTTAGATCGTCACCTCTTTTTTTTTTTATTCTCTGGGTTCCTATTCTTGTCTTTCATATCTCTCTCATCTAGCTCATCTAATACATACAGTGTCAATGAAAGTTTTGTGAGATATTTACAGGATATAATGCATCATGCAAATTTTGTAGTAAATTTTCATCTGTCTAAAACCACATCATCATGCTGTACTGGTCTAAAAGACTTCTATTGACAGGCCTTTTTCTCTCTTTACCACGGTCTTATATAATTATTAGGGTTATATTTTAGCTCATAATTCAGCAATTAATTGAGTTTGTCTTTATGTACTTAAAATCTAATGCATTAACAGAGAGTGTTTATCTACCATGTGTTATTTATAAAATCCTCTGAATGCATGAATGACCTAATTTTCTGTCCGTCTTCTCATTAGTCCTGTTTGGTTATGCCACCACCATCATCCCACGGATCTACACCTACTACATATCGACAGCGCTGTTTGCCATATTTGGTGTGAGGATGCTGAGGGAGGGAATGAGGATGAGTCCTGATGAAGGGCAAGAGGAGCTGGAGGAGGTCCAGGCTGAGATAAAGAAAAAGGATGAAGAGGTAAAAGCTTTGTAGTTCAAGTGTGTTTGTTCACAGGTGTGGCTAAATAACACCCCCTGCATAATTTAAGCATCTTATCTTACCTTTAATTGATTGATTCCCTCTCCTCTCGTAGCTTCAGCGCTATAAGCTAGCCAACGGCTCGCCTGACGTGGAAGCGGGGACGGCGGCTACCATATTACCTCAGAGAAGGTGTCAAGGCGTGATTTCACCGATATTCATTCAGGCGCTCACCCTCACCTTCCTCGCAGAGTGGGGCGACCGCTCTCAGCTTGCCACTATTGTGCTGGCTGCAAGAGAGGTATGTACACAGGGTCCAAAATTAAGACTTTTATTCTAAATTTGATTTCTTAACATTTTAAAATTTCTTACCTGGATGGGAGATTTATTTATTTATTTGCTTGGTTGCTTTGTTTTTGTTTTAAATTTTATTCTTACTTAAAGGGGTAGTTGATTGCGATTTCACTTTTTTAACGTACGTTAGTGTGTAATGTTGCTGTTTGAGCATAAACAATATCTGCAAAGTTCCGAAGCTGAAAGTTCAATGCAAAAGGAGATATCGTCTTTTAAAATTCTGGCAGTTTAATGCATACAAAAACGGCTGGTAGGGACTACAACGAGTTACTTCCCGGGTTCGTGACGTAACAAACCCAGATAACCCCACCCTCGGGAAAAGGCAGCAAAGGGGGTGAGGCCATGCTACACTGCTTTAGAGAAGAGGAAGAGAAAACTAGAGGTGCACGTAAAAATCTGTTCATATATGAATCGCGATTCTCTCTTCTAACGATTCTAATGGATTCACAAGTTTCAAAATCAATGTTCTAAAGCATCCCCCGCGTCCCCCTGCTCCGCACACGCTCTGCATCTCTCTCTCTCTCTCTCTCTCTCTCTCATTCAGCTCAGCTCCAACAATGAACTGTTCCAATTATACACTTATTTTCACATAGCTATGAGAAGCGTTAAACATGGACGCGCGTGCGGTTGCCGTACTGTATTAAAGCTTTAATCAGGATAAAACTGTATATTAAAAGCTAACATAAGCAGTAGCATTTACAAATAACAGCGTATCTAAAAGTATGAGACAGCAACAAACAAAAAACATAGGCCTACCATTAAAAGCCGTGCTTGCACAGGTTCTGCACGATCCTCTTCAGTAATATCCTCTGCTTCTCAACCGGGCTCAAACTGATAAGCGATATTAACGACACTGTTGTTTACAATACAACCGGAGCACATGCCTCCGATGTGAGGGCCGGGACCTAGACTCGCACTAGAAGCGGTTTAGCCAATCACAACACACTGGACCAGCTAACCAATCAGAGCCCATCGCCTATATCTGAGGGAGAGGCTTCATAAAAGAAGGAAATGATCAGCCCGTTTCTCAGAGAAGGGACAGAGCGGTGTGGAATAAAGGTAAATTATGTGAAAAATAATGCGTTTTTTAAAAAACGAAGCATTAACACACGTTAGACTGCACCCCATAAACACAATCAAGCCTAGAAAAAAAAACAGTGAACCACCCCTTTAAAACTTTTATTCTAAATTATATTTTATAAGTAATTCACTTTTACTGAAAATACTTTTTTACCATTTTAAATGTTAAGGCCCAAGAAATTGTTTTGCATTTAAAAAAAAGGATGAGATATATTTTTATTTATAAATAATTTTAAATAAATGTTCTACTAAAATATTCACATTTGACCATTTTAAATATTCTTAATACCATGAAACTGTATTTTGCATTTTGTAACAAACTGATAATGTAGATGAGATTAAAATTTTTAATTCTAATTAATCATTTTAGACATTTATTCTGAATTGTTTTATAAGTAATTAAATTTTGCTAAAAAGACTTTGCCGCTTTTTAGCATTTTAAATATTCATAAATCAATTAAACTGTATTTTGCTTTTTTTTTTTTTTTTAATGGATGAGATCCGTTTTTATTTATAATTAATTAAAATGTTTCTATTAAAATTTCTTGTAATGTTTTACCATTTTGAACATTCTTCATGCTCATGAAATTATTTAGCAATGCATAAAAAATGGCCTGGATATATTATATATTATATTATTATGGTTATGATGATCCAACGATAGCTGCTCGCATCTCAGCTTGTCTAAAGCCTTATTCGGACGGGACTAGTTTTCTAAACTACATTTGAGTTTCGATTCTTATCACCTGACGTCTGCGATTTCCATGTACCAATTCGGACGGGACTAACATCTCCGTGTTTATTACAGAGGTGGGAGGTTCTGTTTAGTACATCTGGGCGTCACAGAGATCACATGCTCTGTATGCGTGCATTGTGTATAGTCATTCGGATTGATTACCATTAGTATAATCACAGTTTTACTACAAATACCATGGAGAAACTAAAGAGGCTAGTATAGCAAAACCAGGTTAATGTGTGGTTACTTTAGTTTAACTATTTTATTTTTTTATTTATTTGTAGTAAACACATGTTTAATTTTCATAAAGGTACATATGTAATTAAAACATTATGTAATTGAGAGCAGAAATGAACGTGAGTAATTTTACCTGACGCTGATATTATAATAGCCAGTCTTAACAGTTTACGTGATCTGGCTCTTGATTTTATTATTATTATTTTTTTTTCTCTCTCTTTGCCGGGAGGCAAATATATCAAACATACGCGCGGTAAGAGCATCCATGGTAGTTCACGTTGGCCAAAACACACAAGGAAACGTTTTGTGAAAAAAAGATATCGCTGGCAATCACAGACATTCGCATTCGGACGGGATTCGTTTTCTCAGAGGATCACGGAGTTTGCTGAAAAACAGTAGGTAATTTGCTCTGTAATTATTACAGAGGTTGTGTGAGAAAAGCAGACGTGGCAGATTCGGACGGTATTAAAATCACCAAGTATGTCTGTGAAACACAAATTTCTCTAACGGCCTCCTGTAAAACTAGTCCCGTCCGAATAGGGCTTAACGGACATTTCTTGCTGGATGAAGGACCATCACCTTGAACTCAACCTTGCCAAGACAGAACTGCTTGACTGCTTGTGGTTCCATTAAACTCATCACAATTCATCACAATTTCACCATCCAGTTAGGCACATCAACCATAACTCCTTCAAAAACAGCCAGAAACCTTGGAGTTGTGATTGATGATCAGCTGACTTTCTCAGACCACATTGCTAAAACTACCTGGTCCTGCAGATTTGCTTTATTCAACATCAAGAAGATCAGGCCCTTTCTTTCGGAACACGCTTCACAACTCCTTGTTCAAGTTCTTGTTCTGTCCAGGCTGGACTATTGCAATGCTCTCTTGGCAGGTCTTCCAGCCATTTCTATCAAACCTTTACAATTAATCCAGAATGCGGCAGCACGATTTATTTTTAATGAGCCGAAAAGAATGCACGTCACACCTCTGTTTATCAATTTGCACTGGCTACCAATAGCTGCTCGCATAAAATTCAAGGCATTGATGTTTGCATACAAAACCACCACAGGCTCTGCACCCCTTTACCTAAATTCATTACTTCAGACTTGTGTGCCCTCTAGAAGCTTGCGTTCTGCAAGTGAACGTCGCTTTATTTTGCCATCCCAAAGAGGCACAAAATCACTTTCAAGGACTTTTAAATTAAAGGGGTCCTATTATGCTTTTTCACTTTTTGAATTTTAGTCATTGTGTAGTGTATGTTTGGGCATAAAAAAGATCTGTGAAAGTTCCCTTTTCAAGAACTACAACGAACGGCTCGTTTGGACTACAGCGTTGTTTTCTGGGGGTTTTTGTGATGTCACAAAGCAGGCCATTAGAATATCATTCAATAAATCCCACCTACAGAAATTCGAATGGTTGGGGGGTGGGGAGGGGCGAGGTCATGGGGGTTGAGTGCATCAGACAAGACGACGACGAAAAAGAAGTGCTGCTGTAGCGTCAAGTTTTCGCAAGTTATTACACATGCACCTGAATAATTATGTATGTAAATATGTATGTTACAATTATGAAAACGTTTTTATATATTGCTGACAGTACAATACTGGACAATAATGTAATCTGCAGAATTTACAGAATTAAATTGAGAATACAGTGTTTCCTATACATTGATTTATTTGTGGCGCCTGCCACAATATCAAAACCGGCCGCCACAAATAGATTTTCCAAAAGGCTTTGACTTCGTTGAATAAACATGAGCACTGCCTGTTTCAAAATCGAAACCCGGTGCGGGTGTTTTTATATCACTATATGAAGGAAACCGACTGTCTTCAGAAAATTTTGGTTGTCATTTTCATTTCATCTTGCATGTAATGTCTGATAAAGCAGCGTTTGTGAGCGGAGCGGTGCTTTGTGTACAGCCGTTACCAGGGAAACTTCGATCTCTCCCGCTCTAAGCGCCTCCTGCTGGCAGAGAATGAATTTGCATATATATGCCACCACAAACCGTGTAAAGGCCTGTTCACACCAAGGATAACTATAAAGATACAGTTCTAAAAATCGTTCTCAATATTTAATAGCAGAGTCCACACCACATCTATAACGATAAAGATAAAGAGAAACAATATCGTTGGAATCAATTTCAAAACGATTTTTCTCCAGCTGATGAACGATAAAAAATTGACAGCCAATCAGAATCCATCCTGCTGTAATGAGCTCGAGAATTTAAAGCGGCAGTCGAGTGTGCGCTTAGAATAAACAGACGATATCGTTTGCTGGTGTGCACGCTAATATTGTTATCTTTATAGTTATCGCTCTTGGTGTGAACGGGGCTTTAGTCTGTGGGAAACACTGGACTATGGTCATTGTGTAGTGTATGTTTGGGCATAAAAAAGATCTGTGAAAGTTCCCTTTTCAAGAACTACAACGAACGGCTCGTTTGGACTACAGCGTTGTTTTCTGGGGGTTTTTGTGATGTCACAAAGCAGGCCATTAGAATATCATTCAATAAATCCCACCTACAGAAATTCGAATGGTTGGGGGGTGGGGAGGGGCGAGGTCATGGGGGTTGAGTGCATCAGACAAGACGACGACGAAAAAGAAGTGCTGCTGTAGCGTCAAGTTTTCGCAAGTTATTACACATGCACCTGAATAATTATGTATGTAAATATGTATGTTACAATTATGAAAACGTTTTTATATATTGCTGACAGTACAATACTGGACAATAATGTAATCTGCAGAATTTACAGAATTAAATTGAGAATACAGTGTTTCCTATACATTGATTTATTTGTGGCGCCTGCCACAATATCAAAACCGGCCGCCACAAATAGATTTTCCAAAAGGCTTTGACTTCGTTGAATAAACATGAGCACTGCCTGTTTCAAAATCGAAACCCGGTGCGGGTGTTTTTATATCACTATATGAAGGAAACCGACTGTCTTCAGAAAATTTTGGTTGTCATTTTCATTTCATCTTGCATGTAATGTCTGATAAAGCAGCGTTTGTGAGCGGAGCGCTGCTTTGTGTACAGCCGTTACCAGGGAAACTTCGATCTCTCCCGCTCTAAGCGCCTCCTGCTGGCAGAGAATGAATTTGCATATATATGCCACCACAAACCGTGTAAAGGCCTGTTCACACCAAGGATAACTATAAAGATACAGTTCTAAAAATCGTTCTCAATATTTAATAGCAGAGTCCACACCACATCTATAACGATAAAGATAAAGAGAAACAATATCGTTGGAATCAATTTCAAAACGATTTTTCTCCAGCTGATGAACGATAAAAAATTGACAGCCAATCAGAATCCATCCTGCTGTAATGAGCTCGAGAATTTAAAGCGGCAGTCGAGTGTGCGCTTAGAATAAACAGACGATATCGTTTGCTGGTGTGCACGCTAATATTGTTATCTTTATAGTTATCGCTCTTGGTGTGAACGGGGCTTTAGTCTGTGGGAAACACTGGACTATGGTATAAATAAATTCAACTGTATAACAGTTTCACTGCAATTCATGTTAAACATAATACATATTACTGTTGCACTTATTTGTACATAGTAAATGCGGTTGTTGACATCCTATCTAAAACGTGATTTAGCCAAAAAAACAAACACAATAACGTTACCACTCTAATATGTCTTGCGATATCCGTGTGTGCAAAGCTTCTGCACAATCCTCTTGTTCAATATTCTCTGGGGTGGAATCCGGCTCAAATTGATATGGCAATATTGACACCATCCTTAACTAAACTGGAGCAGACGGAACTTGCTGCTTTGGCAAGGGGCGGGGCAGTACTGAAACACCATCTAAGCTGAAGCACATTTAGTTTTTCGGAAGGCAGGCCTTTATCAAACCCGGAACTAATCGAGCCGTTTGTGCCAGGCTGGGGAGAAAGGTATTGTAATAATGTAAATTATGTGAAAAATTATGTGTTTTTTGAACCACCAAACATGAGAGCATGTTGTAGTACACCCCAAAACAAAATAAAGACTTTGTAAAAGAGCATAATAGGACCCCTTTAAATGTTCCGTCCTGGTGGAATGACCTGCCCAACTCAATCCAAGCAGCTGAGTCCTTAGTCATCTTCAAAAATCGGCTAAAAACACATCTCTTCCATCTTTATTTGACCCTTTAACTCTAGCACTCTCCATTCTAATTCTATTCTTTAAAAAAAAAACTTGTCCCTTTTAGACTTGCACTATTAATTTACTAACTGCTTGTTTTCTTTAAAAAAACACTAGATTTGTTTTCTGTTTATTATACAATTAACAAAAGCAAAAAAGGCCTCTGACACTAGCTTGCTCTATTCTATTCTTTTTCTATTCTATCTGTTTTCTTTTTATTTATTATATAATTTAAAAAAAAAACTTTCTACGTGTACTGCGTTAAGCTGAGACTTGTCATAGCACTTGCATATCATTGCTCTTTTGTTGATTTTGATTGCTTCCATTGTCCTCATTTGTAAGTCGCTTGGGATAAAAGCGTCTGCTAAATGTAAATATATTATACTATAAATACATTTTCTTAATTCCATTTAGACTTTTATTCTAAATTATATTTTATAAGTAATTAACTTTAATTAAACGTACTTTGTCACTTATTACCATTTTAAATATTCCTAAAGCTCATAAAAATTTATTATTTAAACTACATTACATTAAATTGCATTATTTAATATTATATACATATTCCAGCATTCTCGATAGCTCAATATTAGCAGCTAGCAAATGACTTGAGTGTTGTTAAGTGGGGAAGTCGTGGCCTAATGGTTAGAGAGTCGAAAAGGTTTGAGTCTCGGGTCCGGGAGGGATGTGTGCATTTAGGATGGGGTAAATGCAGAACACTAATTCCTAGTATGGGTAACCATACTTGGCCACATGTCACGTCACGTTAACTGTGAATAACTAAGCCGGTTTTGTGCTGCAGAATCCATTTGGAGTAGCAGTTGGGGGAACATTGGGACACTGTCTGTGCACAGGCCTGGCTGTTATCGGCGGAAGGATGGTGGCTCAGAAGATCTCCGTAAGAACCGGTGAGACTTGAGTCATTTAGTACAGTACAGCATAAGCACTTACCTATATCCAGATTTATTTGCTGATACTTCCTGTTGTTATCTCTACAGTTACAATCATTGGTGGAATCGTTTTCCTGGCCTTTGCGTTCTCTGCCCTCTTTATCAAGCCTGATTCTGGATTCTGATGGAAAAACTGACTCACATTTAGTTTTTCGGAAGGCAGGCCTTTATCAAACCCGGAACTAATCGAGCCGTTTGTGCCAGGCTGGGGAGAAAGGTATTGTAATAATGTAAATTATGTGAAAAATTATGTGTTTTTTGAACCACCAAGCATGAGAGCATGTTCTAGTACACCCCAAAACAAAATAAAGACTTTGTAAAAGAGCATAATAGGACCCCTTTAAATGTTCCGTCCTGGTGGAATGACCTGCCCAACTCAATCCAAGCAGCTGAGTCCTTAGTCATCTTCAAAAATCGGCTAAAAACACATCTCTTCCATCTTTATTTGACCCTTTAACTCTAGCACTCTCCATTCTAATTCTATTCTTTAAAAAAAAAACTTGTCCCTTTTAGACTTGCACTATTAATTTACTAACTGCTTGTTTTCTTTAAAAAAACACTAGATTTGTTTTCTGTTTATTATACAATTAACAAAAGCAAAAAAGGCCTCTGACACTAGCTTGCTCTATTCTATTCTTTTTCTATTCTATCTGTTTTCTTTTTATTTATTATATAATTTAAAAAAAAAACTTTCTACGTGTACTGCGTTAAGCTGAGACTTGTCATAGCACTTGCATATCATTGCTCTTTTGTTGATTTTGATTGCTTCCATTGTCCTCATTTGTAAGTCGCTTGGGATAAAAGCGTCTGCTAAATGTAAATATATTATACTATAAATACATTTTCTTAATTCCATTTAGACTTTTATTCTAAATTATATTTTATAAGTAATTAACTTTAATTAAATGTACTTTGTCACTTATTACCATTTTAAATATTCCTAAAGCTCATAAAAATTGTATTATTTAAACTACATTACATTAAATTGCATTATTTAATAGTATATACATATTCCAGCATTCTCGATAGCTCAATATTAGCAGCTAGCAAATGACTTGAGTGTTGTTAAGTGGGGAAGTCGTGGCCTAATGGTTAGAGAGTCGAAAAGGTTTGAGTCTCGGGTCCGGGAGGGATGTGTGCATTTAGGATGGGGTAAATGCAGAACACTAATTCCTAGTATGGGTAACCATACTTGGCCCGTGGGACTTTTTTTTTTTTTTCTTCTGGTTGTATTTATAATTTTTTTTCATTTTCTCAAGTTGTGAATATACAGTATACAGTAATTAAATTATACAGTAATTAAAATGTTATTTTGTTTAAGCTGGAAATGGATCTTTACGATCCCTAATTAGGATTATTATATTGCATTTTAGGTTCATTTTAAGCGCCAAGTATGTGTTTTCTGCAAATGTAATTGTAAAATATCATTTAGTTGAATGTTTACAATTCTGTGCAAAACAATCCCGCACCGTTCAGGCCCAATGTAGTACATACAAACGATATTACTTTCATTTGACAAAAATTTGTACTTGACTACCTTGAAACCGATGACTAATGATAATAGTGTCCTGCTCTCATCTAGGTTAAGTTGTTCATTGCTTAAAGGGGTCATATGATGCGATTTCAATGTTTCCTTTCTCTTTGGAGTGTTACAAGCTCTTGGTGCATAAAGATCTGTAAAGTTGCAAAGACTAAAGTCTCAAATCCAAAGAGATATTCTTTATAAAAGTTAAGAGTCAACCAAGCCTACCTAAAACGGTTCTAACAGGCCCCCACATGTCTACGTCATGATGCGAGAAGATTTGCATAACGCCGCCCAAATGTTCACGCAAAGAAAGAAGGCGTAACTTTTTTTCTCGCTGTTGCCGCTGCCGCAAAAAGACGGTATAAGTCATTATAATCCGTAATTATGTCCACACTGGATGCAACAAATGCCTCGTTTATAATGTGTTTTAATGTTTTTGTTTCATTGCTCTGGCCGGGACAGGGCATCACAGTATGGTGAGGGGCGTAACATTTCTGTCACACGCTTGAGGTATTCGGCCAATCACAACACACAGGATAGCTGGCCAATCAACGTACACCTCGCTTTTCAGACCGATGAGCTTTGTAAAAATCGACACGTTTCAGAAAGGCGGGATATAGAAGAGAAACAATAATGTACAGTATGTGTAAAATTATGTTTTTTGAACCTTAAACCGCATAAACACATTTCATTAGACCAAATACACAAAATAATGTTCTTTTTTAGCAACATCATATGACCCCTTTAATAAAGCTGCAGTCCATAAGTTTTGCCTCTTTGTCGCCATCTCTGTTTGAAAACCTGCAATTGCTGCTGTCTGCGGAATCATCTTCCTTGTGTGGGTTGTGCATGGTTGGGCATGGCTCCAGCGCGGACATACCGGTCAACCCTCCCGTTTTTCCCGGGATTCTCCCGTATTTTACCATTCTATCCCGCTATCATCCCGTTTAAATATTTTCCCGTATTTCTCCCATATTTTCAATCTTTCTAAAAAAAGAAAAAATTCCCACTGGGCGTATTTTATATGTTTGCTACATTCGCCTGCGGTAAATCTCTCGTAATTTGTATGGCCCAAACCTCATTAAATGAACAATCACATCAACAAATTTCAAGGTTGCCCAGTTGCCAGATCTTGTATGAAACGCATCCTTCTCACAAAATTGATACATACAAATTTCAACCCATTTGTCACCTCAACTTGGCAACCTACAACAGTGATGACTACCGTGGGAAGGAAAGGATCACTGGTAGAAATGGGACAGGAGGAGAAGACTCAGGTGGTGCTCCGGTGAAAAAAAACATATACATGCAAATTGAGATATAGCTTACACTTCAAAAGGCTATGGTTTAATTGTTTAAATATTAGGGTATATATATTTATATTTTTTCATAATTTTATTTTCAAATTTGAATAAGGGGAGTAAACGGCACTGTTTGTTTAAAAAGTTTCCATTATTTCTTTGTTAAATGTAAGAATGGCCTGGCTCACAAAATGAACCCAATACAGCACACTGTTTTCTGATATTACAGATTTATTTTTTCTTTCTTTCTTTTTTTTTTTTTAAATTGAGTTTAGGAACACAGAGCTATGCTCTGGTAGCCCCTGATGGAGCATTAAAATTGGATAAAACCTAACAATGGTGAGAGTTTAAACCTATTTATTGATTTAATTAAATAGTTTGCTATTTTTCCTCCATATTAATGTGTACTGACCAGATAAATTTCATGAGCCAAACACAAGTGCTTTGCAAAGAACATCACACGTACAAAGATTAAATGATAGCAATAGAACACTGATAGACATTCAGAACTTCTAGTGCGTACATCAGAACTACAGAACATTTAACATGGTTCATCACCTCCTTTTCCACTGGGCGCTTTTAATATTTCAAAAACAAATTCAACAGGATTTTGCCATTTTCTCCCATCTTTTCTCAAAGCTCTTTGGGTTAAAACGCCAGCTGACATGGAGTTGCATCGAGCACCACAGACAATTCAGAGGTACATACTGTAGAGGGCAACCATTTTGTATCGTCCTGTTTGTGTGTGTGTGTGTGTGTGTGATATACTACTATAATAATTTATACTTTTGATCCCTCCCGATGGGTGTGATTTTGCTTTTTTACAACAGTTCATTAACAAGAAGTTAATATTGAGTAACTTACATTTTTAACAGGATGATAGTTCGTCGGTTTTCCAAACGAAAATAGTTCCAAAGGAAGCCAAAGTTCGGATTCGGTGATCGTCTCCTAGCAACAAACTGTGATTTGAATCTTTACTTGAACAAATCGGTTGAGTGAATGATTAATACCAAAGCACAAATCTAATTTATTAAACTTATTTAGAGGAAAACAATCACACCAAAAAGTATAGGAATAAAAACAAGTCATGACAATGTAAATATATATATATTTATATTTTTTCATAATTTTATTTTCAAATTTGAATAAGGGGAGTAAACGGCACTGTTTGTTTAAAAAGGTTCCATTATTTCTTTGTTAAATGTAAGAATGGCCTGGCTCACAAAATGAACCCAATACAGCACACTGTTTACAGAGGTACATACTGTAGAGGGCAGCCATTTTGTATCGTCCTGTTTGTGTGTGTGTGTGTGTGTGTGTGTAAATGCAGAAGAATGTGTGTTTTTGAAGAGGTCACTATCACAAGATCAAGTGAGGAAGAGAAAGGAGGGGCGAGATTGATGTGGGTTTATTATTATTCTGAACCAACCTGAGGAAGCTGTAGTATTTCTGTTACCTTAGGGCTGACATAATATAAATCAGTGCAGAAAACAGAAAAACAACCCCTTGTACTCTAAAACATCATCACGCGTCAACAACTGACATCTGATGCCGGTGCGAGAGGATGCGCTATGCATCGGAAGGTCATTTTCGACCCGGCCTGAATTTGTATAGGTGTCCTATACTTTTTAAGCAAGATTTGTTTAAAAAAAAAAAAATGTATTACCTTCAAGTACCCCAAAACATAAGCAGGAGTCTGTAGCAAACATCAAAGACCTCTCTTACTCAGGCAAAAACCTTAAAGTAACCACTTCCTAATCCAACTGCATTGTGGGGAGAAAGTTCAACTGGTCCTCCAGTGTGTCACAGTTTGTTTAACTCCTTCATTTGAGGTTACAATATGGAGTAAGCTTGATTTTCTGTTCCCTTTCTTAGCAAAAGGTGTATAACAGCTGTTTTATACACCAACTATAGTCTATCTGCATAAATTCTCTGTTCTGACCTTGCCGTAGAAAAATAAGAACATCTAATTCTCAATATATTCCTCTTTATAATGTTCTTTAAATGTTACTATAAAGCTAAGTGACAGTTTTACATTCAATCAATAATCTCGCCTTGCTCATTCTAGCCGTGCCGTCATAAAATTTCTGTGGTATTGAAATGTACAGCCATCCATCACTTTTACACGACCACAGAAACCAACACATTAATGACCGTCATAGACCGTAGGACAGTCTCGAAGGGTAGAAGAACAATAGGATGAGTTAGATTACATGATCATACTGCATTATCATAGATCACATGAGTTATTCTGCTATTGAGTGGATACTGCAACATGAACTGTGATTGGACCAGCACTCCGGGTGGTTGAATTTAACATCCCGCACAAACCAAACATTCACTTTCATATATAGTGAGGTCTGATATGGAAAATATTGGAA